GGCAGGTTTGAATTATTTAAATTTAATTTACAAGAAATGCATGAAGTATTTTAATGGTTTTATACAAAGTACATGCATATATATATATATATATACATACATATTAGTATTGGAATATACTTATTGTGATAACTACCCAAGTGAATCTGTTAATAAGTATATCTATTATTTTCAGTTTACTGGATAGTCTTTTAAGTGTAACACCTACGCTAATACTTTTACTAAATAATTTGGAATTTGCGAACAAGGTGGAAATGATTGTCAAGAGATTAAAGAAAGCTGCTGTAGGGCTTTTTATTTAAAATAGGTACAAAAAAGAATATTCTTTCAGAGTTTCTAATGACTGTAAATATTCTTTCAGAGTTTCTAATGACTTTTAGCTAAAGAAAGCTGACAGTCCTGTAGTTCTTGATGAGAAAGCTATCTGTAACTTTTTTCACTAAGGAACAACAACAAAAGCCCACCTTGAGTATTGTCATTATATTTTTATATTTATAAGCAAAAATGAAATTATTTAAATGGTAGATTCTTCATATATTTTGGGTAACGATAAGAATAAATGTTGGTTAAAGTGCTGCAAATAACAATTAGTTGTTTATGTAAATATTGCAGTATTAATATCAGAGTATTTTAGTGGTTAACTATAATAACACAAAGAAATAAGACTATAGTTTTGTTTATTTGAAGTATGGTACAGATTGCCACGCCGGATCCCAGTTGTCACAGCACAAGGTATTCTTTTATAAAGCTGCTGCTGAATCTTCTGAAATGATTAGTAAGAATTGAAAAGTAACTTTCCACAGCCATAATACCTGAAATCCTGGTCCTCGTCCTACAGATCCCTGCATTCAGAAGCGTGTTAGAAAACCTTTTGAGAATGATAGCTTCTAGAAAAGGGCGAATATGTTCGTTGCCCTGCAAAACTATCAGTGAGTTGAGATTCAGACAAAGGTAAAGGTTAAGGAGAACTTCTAGTAGTATAGTATCATTAAAAAATTAAAACAGTAGGGACATCTGTACCACGTTTATGGGTTGATATTTACACTTGTCATTAATTTTCACCTTTTTATTATTGCTGTAAGTGTGAACATATTTATGATATCAAATAAATTTTTATTTAGGCAAAAATTAAAATTTTCCTCCAAGGCAAGGTGTATCTGACAAATCAGAAATAAACCCTCTACTTTCTGCCTCCTTGTTACTTTGTCTTGTCAGCTATGAATAGAAGAACTTCCATGTTTTCAGTTGTTGATAAATCAAGTAAAGCAAAATTCTTCCTTAGTGGTTGACTTTGTCCTTGTATTTAGAATCTCTAAATGAAAAGACTCCGGTATTTTGAAGAGTGTAAAAGTTACGTGTGTGACAGGGACTTTGAATCAATGCTAAAGAAAAAATACTTTTATTTTTGTCCCCCACCCCAACCCAAGAAAAAATACTTTTAAAATGTTTGCTGTTTTGTGTTTTGGTCATGATATAATGTTCTGTGGAGAGTTAATTTGTATAATATTGGATGGCCTAGTATTTACATGGTGTTGTAACCTAAGGAAAAATAAATTAATGCAGAATAGATAAATTTTAAAATTAAATTATTTTTAAAAGTTTTTCTGGTAAAAATTTGAAGCACAACAAGTTTTGGATTAAAATGAAGATGCAAGCAGAAAAGATCTAATTTTACATTTTTACAAATTAAAATACAAAAGGTGTATGTAAATAAACCTTAGTAATTTAAATTGTTCATACTTGTAGTTCTTATCTTTAACATGTTTCTGCTACTCAGAGAGCTTAAGATGTTTTCCTCGTATGCACAGTATACTCTACAGTCCATAATTTAGGAATTAAAAAATGTTATTAATCACAACACAAACTCAAATCTATATTCATAAAATGTTCACATAAACCTGATGTCCTAAAGATCATAAAATGTCTTAATGTAATGAATATCATGTTTCATGCGATTTAGACATGGGAAATATCATGAAAAGATTATTTTTATATATGTAAAATCCACACAGATAGCCAAACGTTATTTATTACAAATGTAAAAGATGAATAATGTTTTTATATTATTATCTTAAAGTCACATAACATTAATGCATTTGCAAAACATATGTTAATTTTCAGGTGCATCAATTCTTGGTTTACTGGTTCACGATAATTTTAGTAGAACTAACATTTCATTGTACCTTTCATTTAAGTGTGAAGTTAGCAAGTGAGGTCAATCCTTACCACAACTCCGATGAAGATCTAATCTCTTTTTGTTCAAGTTTTATATACAATCTCCACCTTTAAGTAAAATAGTTCAGCTCTACTGGGCAGATGTTTGCTGTCTTATGACTGGGAGCAATCCAGAGAAGAGGACCGAGGCTTGTTTTAGGGGGTGCCATGAGCTTAGCGCTCACGTTATCTGAGAATTGTGCTTCAGCTGGAAAATTTAACATACCAAGTTTGGTGGCTTTTATATTTAGCTAAGAGCAAAGGGAAACGTGAATTACTTAGAAGAAATTATCGCATATTTCATTTAAATATATAGTAAAGTTTTTAGATTGTGTAATTAACACAAGATTTGAAAAGGCTATATAATTTATTTTGAAAATTTTAAATGTTGAAGAAAGCAAAGTATAAATTGTTTTCAGTCTTGTAAAAATGTTATTAAAATAAGCTTTTAGGGATTTTTCTTATTTTATTTTCATCCTTTTTAAAATCACACATTCCAGGGTATATTTTATCACTTAAATTTATGTGTGGAAGTTAAGCATTTGGTTTAGGAATAGATATAAATTACATCTATACAACATTACGCTTTTTTATTTTCCAAATGGATATATCTCAATGCTTTCTAGGTGAGATTTTAGTTTTTTTCAGATTAAGAATCATTGGTATTAGTACCTACTTTTGGTGGGACAGTGTAACACATTCTTTAAATCCTTGTTCCTTTTAAAATAATACTCTTTTCAGAATAGGAAGCTTTGTCAGCAAACTGCCACCTTTTGATGAAAGATCACGCATTCTCCCTTAAATCAGTGGTCCCAGAGTATGCTGCACAATAGCTTGGCCACGTAGCTTTAGAATAATTGGCCATGACTTAGTGTCCTTTAAACAAATAGTTGATTCCTTTTCTAATCTAATGTTTATGTATTTTAGGGATTAGAATATTCAATCCCAACTCAGAGGTTAATATTTTGATACAAGATTATAAATTAGAAAAGTTTTAGAGGATCCATTTTCAACCATGCCAGGTGATTGGTGCTTTGGTTCTTGTGAGGGACTCCATCCGTGAATAATCACCTTGGTTTACCAAGGTGTTCAGTGAAGTCTGTGAGATCTGTAACCTCATGGAGGACTCCCATAGGACTTACCCCTTGTTGGTAGCAGTCAACCCAACTTGTGTGAGAAAGAATATGGACCTGTGTGTATAAAATAAACCAGGTAAATTTATCTGCATGTGTATGTAAAATAATGCGCACATGGTATTATTATGTTTTGGTCATGGGCTTAAGAAAAACGCAAAGATACATTGTGTCATGCAACTATATTCCTATTTAGAATGAACAACTTATTTTTAAATTAATTTTATTGAGAAACAAATAGCAATGATACAGTTTCAAAATAGGTTAGTAGGACAGTTACAATAATTAATACATTGCGTATTGTTGTCTTCAGTAGTAGTTATTCATCGTACAAGATGCAGACATGATATCCTGTCCAAACTCTACTGGTACAAATCTTTCTTCTCATTGAATTAAGAGAAAGTAGCTGTATATCTCTCCTATTTTGTATATACAGATACAAAATGGTTCTTCACTTATATCCCCTTTTTTGGTTAACTTTGCCAGAGATGGGTATTCCATTGCCATTTAAATATTGTACGTGCGTGAATTCAGCAAAATAATCCAATATAGTCTGGTAGTCCATAATAGTAGTGGGTTATCTGTAGGACTAGAATGAATAACTTGAAATGTATAGGAGTTTGATAAAAATATATTTTCCTCTAAGGAGCTCTTTATAGGTCAGACAAGTAAATTTCAAATTAAGGGGTCAGATTATATCAGTTTTTCTTTAGTCCAATAGAAGGTAATTCAAAATTTTAAATATCAAATATTGTCTGACATTTTAATTACAAAACACAAGTGATGACACATAAAAAAGTAAAACTTATTAAAGACGATACATTAGGTTTAACAAATTATTTCTAAAGTTACTAGCTTTTAAAAGTTATTATTTCTAAAGTTACTAGCTTTTAAAAGTTTCAGAAGAGTAGCAAAATTTTTATAAAATGGCATAGTGAAAAAGATAAAATAGCATAGTGGGGTAGGGCAATTTTAGTAATTGCAGTGTTTCTATACTTATTCATTGAAGCGTATTATTACTAACTTCAAAAAGGTAGCTGTAATTATCATATTCCTATTCCAAGTTATCATATGTGTGTGTCATAGATTCTTATATATGTTCATACATGAATCTAAAAGTTGTTTTAGGGGTCAGGGAGATGGCTCAGCAGAATAAGTACTTGCCTGGCAAGCGCAAGGGCCTGAGTTCAATCCCCGGTTCCGCAAAAAAAAAAAAAAAAAGTTGTTTTACTGCATGCAGTGCCAGCCCCACCCCCAGAGCGCACTGAGCCTGCGACTGAGTCTGGGTATAGTGGTGCACACCTGTATTCCCAGCACTGGGGAGGCTGAAAACAGGAGGATCACTGCAAGTCTGAGCTGTGTAGTGAGACCCTGTGCCAAATATATAAATAAAAAAAGTTGTTTTCTATTCTCAGATAGTAAATTGAAAGAATATCAGTGGGTAGAACATATAGAAAAATACATGTATATTGGAGATTGAACCCAGGGACTTGTGCATACTAG